GGCCTCTGTGAATGTGACCTGGGGGACGGGCAGCCCACCGCGCCCACTGCGGTTTGAGCCGCACCAGCTCTCTGCTGATGGCCGGAGCCTGCGCCTGGCCCTGCTGCCCAGTGCCTGGAACACCACCTACACCTGCAGCATCAGCAACCCCGCCGACCGGAAAAGCGCCTCCTTCGACCTGCATGCCACCTGTCTCCGGGAAGGTGAGGGGCTCAGGGCCTGGCCTTGCATGGCTGCTTCAGGGACTGGGATCGTGGGACTGCTGCTGGAGGACCCTGGACAAGCATCTCCCCCTTCTCAGAGCCTCGTGTCCCCACTGTCATGACATGGGGGTGCATTTGCAGCCACAGAGTGCTTTGGGGACAGGAAGGGAGAAGCACAAGGCTGGAGGCACTGCCTTTATGGCACCCCATGTTCTCCATGCAGTGGGGAATGGGACCAGCTAGCATGAGTGAGCTGTGGGGCATGCAGCCAGCACAGTGATGGGCTGTCCCTGTCCCCACCAAACCCCCACAGCCAGTCCCAAGCACCCTCCTAGCTCCCCCTCAGCCCTGACCAGTGGCCCCTGCCATTCCAGACCGAGATGCGTCCTCCTCCAAGCCAGGCTACGTGGTCCTGACTATCATCCTGCTGGCACTGAGTATTGGTGGTGCCGTCTGGTGCTGGCGCTTCAACAAGAAGAAGTCGGCCCAAGCCAGTAAGTCCTGGGGATGCCAGGTGCTATGCCATGCCTCAGGGAGCTGGGGCTTTGGGAGGGAGGTGCTGCACTGCAGTGGGTCTGTTTGCAGCTGGGGAAGGTGTGAGACCACCTGATGCCCCTTTGGAGAAGCATCCACCGAAACCCCTTGCGTCTCGTCTGGCTGACACCTGCACTGCAAGGCATTCTGCACAGCCAGGGGACTTGGGGCACAAGGAGGGTGCAGCTGCCCAGATCAAGTTGCTGGGGGGGGCGGGGAGAGCTGGGGGTCTGACCCACCTCTCAGCCTCATGCTCTCATTGCAGCTGCAACCCCCCCAGTCCCAGCTGAGCCCAGCTCCTTGGACCCCCAGTACGCGGAAATCCTGCGGAGGTGCCCTCCAGAGGGCAAAGACCAGGTGAGCTCTGCTGGGAGCAGGCAAAAGGTGAAGGCTTTGTGGGCCGGCAGAGCCACGGGGACATGAGTTAAAATCCTGCCAGCTCATTTGCCTAGCACTACTTGGGAGGTAGCCCCATCCTCCCCTCCACCGCGCTCAGCAGATGTGGAGCTTCCCAGTGCCCTTCGCTGAAACCGGGGCAAGAAGCAGCTCTCCTCTGGTGCCAGGAGATAGGGCTGCTGCCACCATGGCATGGCTTTATCTGCCCTGGGGAGTTGATGACTTGGGGTGCACCGCAGAGCCTAGGCAGCCTGTGCCCTCTGGTCATGCAGCTGGAGCCAGCAGTGCACAAGTGGGCACGTGTGCATCTCGTCCTGGGA